TAGATTACGTTTGCGTTCTGGTGAGTCATATCAAAAGGTTAACTGCTTTCTGGGCGTAATTTTTCACTTGTACTTCTCTATTAATTTTATATTGCTCAGCCGCATTAAGAAAGCTTTCGTTTTGCCTGGGCTATTTTATGTGATGTTAAAATTTATTTGTTAGACTACATTTGCTCTTTTCTTTATCCTAACTCTTTCCATTCTTTAGTCAATGGACTATTCACCCATTCCGGCTTGCTGTCTCACTCTCTTCATCAGTCCTCTTCCCTTGTCGATGCTCATGATCATCCTCTTCTGAGTAGTGGCCTCCACTCCATCCCTTCCGCTGCTTTGGCAGCCACCAGCAACAGTGATCCTCATTCTCGTAGTTTACCCGTCGCTCCGATTCCACTAGGCTTCGAAGATGGCATCCCCGTAGATCATGTAACTATTATCAAAGGCCAACAGACTCTCGGTCTCTCCATATGTGGTGGCATTGATCAGAGTTGTGCTCCGTTCGGAAGAAATGAGCCTGGCATATTTATCTCACGAGTCAGTCATTTCGCTTTAATGTTTTTTTACTTTATCAGCTCTTGTCAGCTAATTTTCTTCCGTGTCAATTGAATTATTAACTGTAGCGTCCTCATTAACTAGTTTTGTGCCCTACTTTTTAGCGTATATTTTGAGCCTTGGAGCTTTTGGTTCAGATAACAAATTAAGTTTATTTGGAAGTGTAATCTCTAAAGGCTGTTGATACTTTTTAAATCTATGATATTTCTATTGGATTCATCCTCACCTCAATTCATTTAACCTAACTATACGTCATTAAGGGAGTATAAGTCTTTATTTATGCATAATATCCTAAATGGCTTTTCCAACTTGGAATGATTTTATTCGTTTCTTCACCCTAGATTTTTGCCATTTAATATGCTACAACCTGTTCCCATTTATATTTTGGATACTATTGAGACCTGGGCGGAGTCCAAGCTTTAGTTCATTTTGTATTAGGAGGCCTTTTTGAAGACATGGTGCAGAGAGGTTTAACAGAAAAGTGAAGCCATCTGTATTTTATGATGGATTGCCCAACTATCTTACTATGGAAAGCACTGTTTTTCCCTCATGGACAGAATCCTTCTCAGAATTAAGTAGAGCTAATTATCTCCGTTAGCAATGCGAATTGGATAGCACGAAATTACCCGCTACTCTCTTAGACTATTAAAGAGCATTTTGAAAGACTCTTATGTCTAAAACTAGCAAAGGTTCCTTGGCGTAGCTTACCTAGCAAATCTCTTAGTATGTAGGTGGTTTATGTAATTTTGAGTATAAGCAACATTACTCGAGAACCCTCTTGT